AAAGTTTCGCAACTATTTTATCAACGAACGCGGTGCGCCGCGGTCCGGGGGTAAGATCAGCCGTTAGCGGAAACACGAAATTGCGTTTAAAACTTTGGTTACCAGCGAGGTTTCACGCGCGTCACGCATCCACTGATTCCACTCACGCCTCTAATACGTATCCCAGTCACTCGTCCGTAACACTGCCTCGCCAGGCCGCGCCGTATGGTTCCAGTGTCCTTAAGGTGTAAGAAGATTACGACCAAACTACGTGAGAGCCTTGCATCGGTACTCGGGCTATCCCTTTCCCGTATCTAGCCAACGTATCCCACGGGCGAATACCTTGCACGCGTGGTCACGTACGTCTGCATTACCCGCTGGTAATTAACGTCACCCTCGTCCCGTAACCCGTCTCCCGGTGTACGCGCGTTAACTCCTCTCTACCGGCGCCTCCTCCTCGTCCCATGTAGCGACGCGATCCAGGCGTAAACCGCGCGCGGATGTTTGCGATATTAGCGGCGCCAAGTATGCGGGCCTGAGAGCGTGATTCTGATACTTTGACGGTTTAATCGTCGAGTCTCCCAAGAGGAAAACGCCCCTCGCCGAACAATATTCCTAAACAGATTGCTATTCCCTGACCACATGCATGTGCAGCTATTTCTTCGTCCGGCACGAACTCCCCTTCGACACCGATTGTAAGAGCTTGGCAACGGAAATTCTTTATTAAACCAGGGAAAGCCTGGAAAGCCCGTTCAATTTGTTGATGAGTCGATTAGGTCAGGTCTGAGTATGAAACAATTGAATGACATTTATATATATTCTAAAAGGTGGTATTTCGGTAGTTTTTACAAATGTACATTGAGCCAAACGTTAAAACGAATTATGTGTCGAACCGAAATGCAGAACCGGGACATAACAGTTGTAGAATCGATATGTAAGTCGGAACTTATATATCTGATAACAGTTATAGCATTTTTTGGTTGTCAATATCTGCTCTATGAACCGAAAACGATATCGTTTTCAATCCCTGTCTTAAGCTGAATTTGGAACTAAATTATAGCGTATAATCCCATTTGATATTAAATTCATTTCCAAAATGAGATAACTAACTCCGTGCTCGCTTTCGCGTCGATCAGGAAACCGATAAAAATGAAACCCGTGTGAATTCTAAAGTAAATTCGTAGACTGTGAGCTGTTTTGAGACGCAGAGGATGGATGAAATTAAACGATGAACGTTTCTCGTCCCAGTTATCCTGAACCGCTCGGCAAGCCCGATTTTGTAATCTTTAAAAGCTAAGGGGATTAATGAAGTTGCGACAAGTTGAAGGGAACTCGTTATAGCTGTGAAATCCCACGCGGAGACGGCCCCACGACGTTTCGATGGATTAACGAAAAGCTTTATTAATCAGTTAATCTCCGACGATCCATCTTCGCCCGCGGAGTCCCACGTTTTCGCGGTGAAATCTCGGTAGGACGAGAGAACCGGCGCTGGATAAGTGTCTATCCGTCGATAGGTATAGACACTGTACACTCTCGTTCATAAATAATCGCGATTAGCAGAAGTCACATTTAAATAAAATATGACGCCAATGAACCGAGCTAATATTCTGACGTATGATCTGATATTCATTGGGCAGGAAACAGTTGAATACCAAGTTAAGGGAGTTATGATAGCAAGAACCTATGAACATTTAAAACCAGCGATGTATGTATGGAACATCCTCCAAAATAGGACAAAACCCTGTTAACTTCTGAACAGGAGTATCCAGGGGGTCGATAATAAATGACTTCGCGATGACTCGTCGAATTTAGATTTTTCATAGTTGGCGACTCTATTTAGTGCGGGAGTATCGCAGCTTCTGACGTTGGAACTCAGACCTCTTGAGCGCGTCATCTATCATAAATTTATCGCGCGTCGAGGCTTGGTAAACAAGCGAACCGGTGGAACCAGAAAAAGTATTACTCTCGTACGTCTACGGATCGCAATTTTTGCACCGAGGCTCTTATGGAATTCTAAGATCGGAATGACGAAACGGTCGCTCCGGTTTCGACAGACAATTTGACAAACCGCTGGGCGGCGCACCGAAGACATTTCAGTCGGGTTCAAGAAATGAAGCCATGAGTCAGACTGGGCGGCGATTTACCTTCAAATCGCTGACGGTATCTTCGGTAGACGCATTTATATTACGTCGTCGACGAAACAGAGAAAATCGACGTTTCTAAAAGATGAGATAAAAAACGGTGAGGACTTAATTTCGAAACCCGTTCACGCACCCAGATACGGTTAGCCCATGTCCTGACGGATGTAAAACAGAACGATATCGATGAGACGATCGTCGATGATTTGAAAACCGTTCTGGTAGATCTAGGACGGCACTCATAGAAAAAGGGTAACGAGGAAGTGGAACGCAGGCGCATGGGAACCGCTTAAGCGGTAAACTTGTAAGTGGCGAAATAAAGTTAGAAGCTCCCTGCTACCGTGTCTGTGACAGTTTAATTAATATCTTCCGTCCTCAAAGGAAAAACTTGCTGAAGTAACCGGCACGGGACCCAGCGAGTGGGAGCGAGCGAGTGAGCAAAGACCTACCACCAGCCACCGTGGATAGTCGAGGTGAGTGGAGCTACTTCAACTTCAGGGACATTCACCGCCCCCTTCTTTCTTTCGCTAAGTATATATTCACCGCTACACCCGCCCCTTAGAGTAAAATTCCTTGCCGGAATAAACTTGTTCGTTTTCTGCTATTTTCGATGGCTTCGCGTGTCAATGACGAAACAGGCTCGAGTGGGTACCGAACTCGGACAATGTCGCCTGAACGAAAGCAAACTCGGCGGCCGCCGTAAACCGGCGATGCGACTCGGTTAGGTACCGGCGACGACGCTTTAAAAACTGGTCTGTGCAGGAGAGGAGAGATTCTGTCCTCCGCGAACGGTTCAACGAGCCCCTTTGTGTTTACCGATCGATTTACTTTTCTCGTCGCGGCATTCTTTCAAAGTGGTCGCTGCGTCGCGTTATCAATTTCAATTACGTAGTTCAACGGTTAATTGCGGACTGGTGACTTCAATTACCGTCCCGCTGCTTTATTAAACGGCTCTCCTCTCCTCGACCCGTTCCTCTGGTTTTTCTTCTTTCGTTCCGCGCGATTCACTTTTTACTTCTTCTCTTTTTCTAATTTTATTTCCGCCCCGTGAACCGGCGTTATCAGTCATCTCTCGGTTCTACCGTTATCTGCCCGTCCGGCTGGCACGTCGCGGCCAACTTAACGCCTCTCGAAGGACATTATGTCCACGTAACAGCGTGCAAACCCTGAGTAAGATGCTACCCAGTTCCATTATGACTACGTGTAATCGCCGACCGCAACTCGTTATCTGATCTCGTACTGCCGGTACCCCGTCCTGCTCCCACCCTCTCTGATGAGTAATCAACGGAACGTCGCGTTACCAACGCCGCAAATAGATTCCGAATGATCGATGGTCGTTCCACGCGGAGAAAACCAAGTAATTCGCAATTAACGCGTCCCTCGAATCCCTGAACGCAACGACGACAACGACGAAGCGACGTTGTTAAAACCTGGACAAAGTTTAAATTAAACTGAAGATATCCCTTGCGACGCTTCGATGTTCGAGGGATTCGAGGAGAAACCTGGACGTAATTAAAAGTCAAGGGATCGATGAACAAAAATTTACCGAGATTAAAAAAAAGCGTTGCTAGCGTAGAAACCAGTTACGAGGGACGAATGACGGTTACGCTAACGAGAGTTGTTGATAAACCAGCGGCCAGGAAATCCTGTGAAGGAACAAACGAATTTATGTCGGGCTAGCAAATTAACCAATTCTCTGTTATACGTCCCACAAATTCATTCATCTCACGAACGACCGTGTGATAATACTGCTTTTTATAAGTAGACCCTGGATTTTTAAGGAAGATAAAACTTCTGTCGTCTTAATTTAAATAATGAAACCTGGATTTCTTTTATCACTTCAAAAATAACGACGTGCACTCGTGTTTCATGCACGGGAAATTTGCATGAAATCTACTTATTAGAAGTCGATGCTCGTTCGAGGGAAAACTTGTTTACGTGCGAAAGAGTATAACACATGATTAGTGTTGTAAAATACGAGCCGAGGACGAGCGCAACTGATAACGCGCGGTCCAGGATTTCACGGTAAAAACCGTGATCCACCGCCGCGATCGCTCGTGCGACGAAAATAAAAGCAGAGGCGTGCACGGGAAACAGGACAAATGCGATAGGACGTAACTGAAGCTACCGATGAAAACCGCGATTAGGTGATCCGGACGAGTACCGTCCACGCGGAGTCACCCCGACCGGTAATTAAACTCTTTGACGGTGCGTACTTCGACGGGTTCGTGTGCCTCTGTCCTCGATTCAGGGGGGGGAAAAAGACGGGATAAAAAGAGAAGACAAAGGAAACAAGGACAAAAAAGGAACAGAAAGAAGAGGGTGGAAAAAAAAATATTGGAGCGGATCAGAGAGGCGTCGCGGAATTGACGAGCCTCTCGGGAATAATACGCGGTCGGGCAACAGAGTCATCGGCTTTGGGAATTTGGTTCAAGTTAGTTATCACCGATGCACACGCGAACCGGTCCCGCGAAAATCGTTTATACCGTTACGCCAATCCTTCCTGCCTGGCAATAGTACACGCTTGTAATTCGCTTCGATCCGTTAGAGGTGTGAAATTAATTTTACGCCCGGCTCGTATAAACGCCGCTTCGAACGCGAGTGGATCATGGTACGGGGTGAAAAAGCTTTCGGACGTTCGCGAGTTTCGCAATAATAACCGTCATAGTCATTTCTGTGAACGGACTTGAATCAACGATTCTGTGAAACATGTTGATACCTTTGATTGCATACGATGTAATTAAGAGTTCGATTAGAATTTTCCGATTATATTCGAATCGCAAACGTGTAGGCAAAGCCGCTCAAGTTATTAAAATATGATCGAGGCTGTGCGCGTTTCGAAAGGCAAATAATGATTTCGAGTAGAAAAATATGTAGATATACCTGGTAGCGTGGGGTTCGTCGCGGAAGCGTCCTGGCGCGCGGTGTCGCTGGTAATCGCAGCCCCGCCGAGATTGGTACTGTAGTCTTCGAGAAGTACGTAGCACAGTAATAGCCGTGCCACCCTCATTCTGCAAGTGGAAAAGAAAGAGACCTGAACAATAATAATGATTCCCTCTCTCTCTTTCTCCCTCTCTCTTTCTCTCTCAACCTCTTCTCGATTCACCCTGCTCCTCCACGATTTCGTCTAGCCGCGACCCTCCCAGCGAACCTTCTTTCTACCGACCGCTGCTGCGGTTTTTTCCTTTTCCTTTCTTTATTATTTCCCTCGTCCGCTCCTTTTCTCAATCGATACATTTGTCAAGCGTCGTATAAGCGGCTTCCAAGTTCGCGCAATTTCACGTAATGTACGTGGCCTGGGAAAAGGACCGCGACTTTCCTCGTAGATCCCCGTCGCGACGCGACACGACGGCTCCTCTCTGAACCGAGGGGAACGCCGGGACAATTATCCTTTATGCCATCTCGTAAATAACTATCCCGACCATTTAGGTAGCACAGATTTTTCAGTCGGCGTGCAAGCTGAATTTAGCGCCGCCGAACGTACCTATATAAAACGGTGGCCGCGCAACTGCTCCTTCTTATTTACGACAGGACTAAATGAAAAGTCTGACCCCCGTTTTACCCCGCACACTTGCCGATCCCTCAGTTAAACGCGGCTCGTTGTTTCCTTTCGAGGCTAGACACCGCCTCACGCCCGTATATACACGTCACTATGTGTACCACACTCTCGAATCTTCCTCCTTCCGACGTCAGATTATAAACTCGTTGTTTTATCTCGCTGACGCGTGATCGATGGTTCCTTTGGAACGGTGGAAATCGGCCGGGGCATTTCGTACTGATTCGAACGAGAATTTTAAGAATCCTCTCTATCCCGTCGATCGAACTGAATCCTTGGAGACCGTTCGGAGAGAGCACGTACCTAAGGTAGTTCCCCCTTTTCGAGAGATTCTAATAATGAAACGAAAGCTGTTTTCCTCGGAGAAGACGACCCGAAAGACTCCGATGTGAAGACGGTGCACACGAGGTTTTAATTTCGAATCGGCCAGTCACTTACGATCGACGTATGAAAACGACATGGGGAAATCGGATTTCCGTCTTCATCGAGATCTCGTTCGAACAGACCGACGATAAGGATTCGCAAGGAAAGAGAGCGAAAGAGAGATTTCACATTTCGAGGCGAAATTCCATTTCCGACGCTATTCCGTGTGTTTACCCGTGATGAGCTGTTTGTCGGCAAACATTATCTGTTCAGAAAAGAATCGTGCAAACGTTATGACCAATTTAAAAGCCTCGTCGAGGAAGTGGTCGGAAGTGGCCTTTCAGACGCCTCTGCTTCCACCATGGAATACGAACAAACGGGAACGAAAAGGAAAAAACAGTGGGGGAAGCTTTAATGGCTCGCCTCGCATTGTACCTACTAGAAATAAGTTGATCTCGGTTCGACCGGCAATTCCCCGGGAAATGTCCTTCTTTAATAATTTAGTAATCCCGAAAAATTGGAATTCCTCGTTTTGTCTTCGTTACGGTGAAAGGGCATTAAGCTGTGACTTGCGCCCCCGGCGCGCTCAAGAAATTCGAACGGCTGATACGCCCCGAGCCCGGGAAGGTAGGAGATAATCAAGGAAAATGCAAACTCGTAATTTTTTCTCGAGCGTCCCCGGAATCGGAAATCGCGGTCATTAATTGCGCGTGCCAAAGCTGGGGACCGTACATATTATAATCCATATCGATCTCCGTTCCTTAGTGCCCGACCTGCAACGCGATCCTTCCTATTTATCGGTCAATAAATCCATAAATGTACGAGCAGAACATTAAACAATTTTAATCCATCCGCGATTGATCAAACGTTTCCCTAGAATTTTCGGGGGAAGAAATCCAGTCGGCCGTCGACGCAGCTTCACCGCGTGCACACGATTATGCGCTTCCGGGAAAATTTATTCGTATAATCATCCCGGTGGCTCGATCGTTTAGCCCGTTCATAATCCGAAGAATAATTTAGGAACACGTTGCTAGTATGGCGCGCGTATATCATTTGCATACGTGTAGCTATGCAAATAAGACTGGCTATTCTCCGTAGAAACAGATTAATTATCTAGGATGCGCTCGAGAGCAACCGGTATCTGTTTTTGTCCGGCGATTTCGCCACGACTAGCTGTCCCGTCGCAATCGTTTCCCACGGACGTAATCCGCTGCGGCGACCGATTAGAGAGTGAAATTAGCACGTTCTCGGATCGGTCGATCGTTATACTTCCTTCGATCGAGACGTTCGAATGGTTAACGAGAGTCGTCAGAAATCTCCCTCTCGGTCGTGTTTTACCGTCTTCCATCGTGGATCGATTGCTTAATCTCGTTCGCCAGGAACGGCGAAACGTATTTAAAGTAAATATTGAAACGAGATTCCTCGTTCGTTGGCGGCATAAATTTCGCGAATACTTGCCGGATGAACAGGGAAAACTTCAGGCGACCGGCCGTTCACGGTGGATATTAAAATTCATACGCGGGCCGACATTACCGTGTAATGAATCTCCTTCGAGGGACGGATTTATCAAAGTCAACGGCAACGCCATTAGTGCCGTTGGAACCGTTCGGTAAAAACATGCCCCATATACCCGAATACCCCGTCTCTCGCATTCTAATCGCCGACTGTTTTTTCCCCACCCCCGCGGCATATGACGCGCGCGTACATACACATATAAAGTATTGTCCTCCTGTATATGTGGAACGAAACCGAGACCGCGAATCTCGTCGAACGATTTTCGATCCTGTCGGAAAATTCACCGCACCGTACCGCACCGAAATTCGATTCGCGAAATCACTTTTGGAGCGCGCGTCCCGTCGCACGGTGTGCACACACGGTATGTATATGTACGTATATCGCGGTGCGCGAATCGGTCAGTATTTTCGTCGTAAATACCGTCGATTGAATTGGCCCGACTGGATTATCGTCCCTCCGGTTTCTAAATTGTTATCGTAAAATCAATCGGCAACAGATTCCAGCGGACGTCAGATTCTCGCGTTCGTCCGACGATCCTTATAATTCACTTGGAACGCGACCGGAAATTCCGTCGGAAAATATCACGGTGACGTATGTACATCGTCCCGGTGGAAAATCACCGCCGGTAATGGTACGAGCCTCGCGTTCCTCCCGAATCCCTGCGGGAACCCTTCGAACGGGAACGGTGATCTATCGAGCGTTCCGGATGATCTATCGCCGTTTTGTTTTCCCCCCTGGCTTCCAATTGTGTACGTTCGTGTAATTTGTGTTGGTTCAATTACCTCGTGAGGAAAGTGTAGCATTATAGTCGCAATTGCACGCGTCGCGTCATACGCATATGGCTCGACACGCGTGGGCTTCCGGTATACCGACACACCTCCGAGCCGTATGAACCACGATACGAGATAAAGCGTTACACCTCCGTCGACGGACGCATCCCCGGGCGTCGAGACGCGTGTACTGACGGCGCGGCGTCGGGCTGCCCGTCGAGCGTCGGAACGCTCCGTGACGGGACGCTCGCCTGCATGGCGCAGGTCCAGGCCCTCCTGTCCCTTCTACGTCTTTCCTCTTCGCATCTACTAATTTTCTCTTCCGTTCCTTCCTCGGATCTCTTTTGCATTTCGTTTTGTCCTGCCATCCCGCCTTCGCGGCATTGCTCGTCGCGAGACGCGTCGTTGGACACAATATTCAATTTATTATGAAGCACGCGAGGGAAGGGGAGCCGTGAATCTCCACCGGCGACGATGGCTAGGATAAAGAGCGGACGAGAAGAGTGCGAAGCAATCGTTTCAGTGAGTCGACGATCGTCGGAGACCCGTTCGTCAAAGAGCCAACAGAACCCATGAGGGAGGAACGCTCCCAGTTTTTTCGGGTACCACGGCCGAGCTCAGACCGGGTAAAAACAGCCGAGACAATTGGTGAACTCCCGGGGACAAACGACATTCCTCGCGCCTGCGCTCGCTGTTTCCTTTATTCGAAAATGTTTTCTCGAAAAAGGATCTCAGTCGGCGTCGTGCGACCGGATCGAACGCTCAGCGAAAGAGAATTTATCCAGTGGCCCGGACCAAGTTGACTCTCCACGCCCGCCGATGTCATGGAACAACATTTATTTTCTATATACGCGGGAACGAGGTCTCTAATGGCGAGCAAATATTAGTAGAAAAATAGACCCCTCTCCGATCTGAAATTCGTTTCGATTCCACCTTGTGCTTTCGTACATTTCGAATCGATGTATTTGTCAATCATCGAACGTTGTCCATGTAAAGCAAACACTCGGGAACTTTCGAAACTGGTCAAATGGACGAGCAATGATGTCAGTTCGGTGGTCACTAACGATCGATTTGAAAATTTCATTTCGAGCTACGTTAGCCCGGCTGCTGATACAATTTTTATCGAACGGATACGAGAAAACGTATTAGAAAAATTAAGTGGTTCCTAGTCCTCGCCACGAGGAACCTAATTGTCGTGTGAGAACGGCCTCTGTCGATTCTGTAGTCTTTCGTTAGTTATGCCACGCGGCGGCCACTTTGTCGAGCGTTTCACGCGGCTAAAACCTAAGTCGAGAATTTACGAGCAAAGAACGTTGCACTGTGGAAGAGAAGGGAAAAGCGTCCTTACCTGTGAGCCGGTGCCGAGGCTCTTCAATTATGACAGTGAGAAAAAGTGTACATTAAGGGGATTGCTCAGAGCCGGGTGAAACACAAGCGGCACACGCAAAGCGGCGCCTGCGAAATTGCTGCTTAAGCCGCGCTAGGCGAAGATAAATGAAAAAGATTTAGGAGAGGCGCAGCGGGCTGCGCGAGAGAAAAAAAAGAACGACCGCGGCTCCTTGCGCGACGTTAGCATATCCGAGAAAAATTTCTGCCCGTGTCAAGGCTACGGCGGGACACCTTCTCGCAAATTACTAGACGTTTCAACGTTCAATCAAGCTGTCAGGGTTACGCGATGGTACGACGAGGCAAAACTCGTTGTCTCAAACGAAACGTAGAGCGAGTCCAGATATCGGCTAATCGCTCGGAACGTCCGAATTAATTTGCCCAAGCGTCGCGTTCTCTCGGACGAGCGTATACGTATACCGTGTGCCCCGGGCGCACGGGGTGGCAGCTCGTTGTAACCGGGTTGATTCGATTTATCGAGGGAAACACGCGGATACCCGATACGCGGGAAGAGCCAAGGGAAACTTTTTCACCGATGCGATACGATGCGATGCGATGCGATGCTCGCTTTACGTTAACTTCCGACGATTATCGACAAAACATATTGCATTTTAAACTATACCATAGGAGATTTGATCGTCCTGAACTTCGGGGCACACAAGGTGTGTCCTGATTCAACGTTCCATTATTTCCAGGGGTAATTGTTGATAAGGGGATACAATTAAACCGTATGATTTGCAGGATCAGTTCTCGCAAACACGATGCGAACATAAGATTCGCCACCTGGGATAAAACCGTGCTCTCTGAATTGTGGTTTAGAGGGTTTAAAACGAGGCACCTTGTATATCGGCTATATGCGTGGTAAACGATGCAACATGAATATCTATGTAAATAGAGCAAACTTTTATGCGCACATAGGATCGATAAAAAACTAAATCCTCCTGTGGTTCGAAACTGGCTATCAATTTTTACCTTGCAGTTAAGAGGCGCAGGATCGGTAATAAGGCCGTTTTCTAAATCGATTCTATTAGGGTTGCGTGTTTCTGCGAACTTGACGTAGCTACGTTCGTTACAACGACGGTCCGTTTATGCGGGTAGGTTGTTAGCGAGGCTGGGAAAAAACGGGGACGGGAATCAACAGGATTGCAGCACGCGGCTCGACGCGAGGCGGTAAAATGGGATTTAGCCAATTAAATAATTTACCGCGGTCACGAGGTACAATTAGCAAAATGACACGCGATCCATTGGCGGGTCGCTCGGATTCCCCAGCCGTTTTGAATTTCGCCTAAATCGAATTATGCATCGCGCCGATGCATCAGGCAAGAATTTACATCTCGATGTCCAATGCGTCGCGCTAACCAGGCTCCATACCGACGCATCGCGATAAACGTGCGTAGAGAATAAAATCGGGCAGATTATTAATTCGTAATTAATTGTACGAGTCAATTGATCGTCGTTTAATTGTGCTCAGACTCCCATACACTTCTATAGATTAAGGATGTATAGGCTATACACTTAAACAATGCTAACATGTTGAATTTGTTATTATAGATTCCTATTACTATTAAAAAGTAAAGGTAATTTTTCATAGGTAATAGTATCACCTACAACTTTTACTTGAAGCATTTTTCGATATTTTGAGAAAAAAAAAATTTTCCATTTTTCCGAGATTTTTCCAAGGGG